ATTTGGTGATGGAGAATAGTTGGGAACACGTTTTGTCTTTTGCAATAAGTGAATATAATGGTGGGAATTATCATTCTTAAGCCATGAAGAAAAGTCTATATACTGAGTTCTACTTTGCTCAACAGGCAGAATGATGTGTACTATATTTTGCTTTCAAGAAAGCTATTAGCATTTTAAAAAACTGGCCTTTATATTTATAAACTCTAGCTATTTGGAAAATTGGTTTATGTTGTACAGATTATTTTCAACTCTACTAGACAAGGTATTACTATAGCATTACTATATATAGGTCTAATAAGATCCTTAAAATCATTTTACAATTTTTATACTTATACTTTTCAATAAGGTTGATTTAATTTTATTTAAATTCTACAATATGGGATAATAAAGGCAATTATTGATTGTTTCTTTTAAAATGTCATGTTAAAATGAATATGATTGTTTTGAATACTGAATTATTTTGAGCATTTTCCTTCTATGTGTCACAAATAATTAAATTCTTCTTTCTATTTCACAGGCTCCAGAAGTTCAGGAGAAGGACAAATATAGCAATAATAAAACTTAAAACATACACACGTGATTTTGAGATGACAACAGTTATTTGTAGATTTTAGACCCTATTCCATGCTGCTAGACTGAGTACAACATGTTTGCCCTAAAATCTTTTCCAAGCCTACAATATGGTCTCTAGTTTCAAGTGATGACAAAGACAGACTGGTAATCAGAGAGCAGGAAATTCATTTTTGAAAAATCCTTAAAGATTCCTTTGACGTCTGATAGAACACTGTTTGAGTACACTAAGTGCACATCTCCAAGGATTTGTTTTTAGATTATTCTATTTATTTTATTTTACTTCTCAAATTTGATTCGAATTGTATTTACACAAATACATTTTTCTATATACATTTAGATATCTAGACCATAAACTTACTATGTACATGCTGCTGAGATTTGTGTGGAAATAATATGGCCCAAGCTAATGCAAAAAAGACTTCATAGTTTTGAGTGAATCTGCATAGAGACATAAATTATCCAGGATATTCAAAGCCATAAATTAGCTACAGGACATAGATAGCTCTCTTGTGGCTCACGGAAGCACAACAATTCTCTTTATTTCACATTTGTCTATTATCACGTTTTCTCCAAGAATCTTCATGGGCTCTCCTTCTTTGGCTGCACTGTGTTTTTATTTCCATATTCAGAATGTGCTTACTGGTAGCAGTTGCATTTACAAAGTCAGAAGAACTGGACAGCCTAGATTAATATTAAACTCGGTTCTTTCTTCCCTTTCTGCCTAGAACATATGCAGAGGTTAATAAAGACACTACCTGAATTAAAGGTAAAATAAAAATTTTATTAAAAATTATTGGATTAAATATGATTTATCAGTAAAGAATATTTTATTTGGCTGCTTAAAATATAAGTTTTATATATATAGGAAAATAATAGTATGTTATGTATACAAAATATAATATACATATATTGCTATATATACATATGTGTGTGTATATGTATGTGTATATATGTTTGTGTGTATAGATATATAAAAAGGCAAAAGTCTATTAATATTGTTTGGACCAGGGAATTGTATGTTTTGATCAACATAAAAAAGGAAATAATTTACTTAAAATATACTCCCTTTAGCTAAAGTCATTGAAAGTTTCAAAAGAGAAAGAGTTTAGAAGAAAATGTCACTTTTTGCATTTTTAAAAAGCTCATACAAAACATGAATTCCTTTTCCTAAATTAACCTCCGGATCCTGGATAAATGTCATAATGTCCCCATAGAGTGATAAAGGGTGAGAATCTAGCCCTGAATAACCACTACAAAGTGAATTTCATAAATATTTGAAATAATTGTCCTTCACTGCTTTCAATGCCCATCCTCTTCTTTTGGGCTCCCCTTGAGCCTTCTTCCATAATAAAATAAAAGATATTATTGCCAAACTACAATATCTTAAACATTATAATAAAATTAACTCCCCTTTTTCAGTGCAAAAAAAGTAATTAAGTGTATCTAAATATGTACTACCTCTTCACATGTAAGCTTCATAAAATTTATTTTTACATCTTATGCAAATATAAAAGCATAAAGCAGTAATTTCATGACTAAATGCTATTTTTGCCTCTTCATTTTTTCCAACATATTTTCATACACATGCAACCTGTAATATAGACAGATGCACAGTTGATGCAAATGAAAATAACATTTTTTTCATCAACATTTTAAGTACCGAATTGATATATTTAAATTTTTTAATGCTATGGATAAACAGTTTGATCATGTTGTTTTAATTAAGTTTATTTGAAAATATGTTTTGGAAATAAAAAAGCAATATGAACAATAAAAGTGAGTACACATTTGTTTGGTGCAGGACAGACTTTACTATGATGTAATCACACGTTTTACAGAAGTGTGATGTTTAGTGCATGGAGAAAAGACTTTTGTCTTGCCTGTGACATTTACGAGGATCACTTTACAATCCAGACTTAACTGAAAGGAAAAGTCATAGGAAGTTGAACATGTTGAGTTCAAATAGCATGATCTAAAAAGTCTCAAAGAAAATTAATAACAATTAGAAAAATCGAAGAAGGATTTAAAGGATCTAGACCCAAAATAAGGAATTATTTCTCTGACAAGATGTTTAGCAATAAAACAGTGAAAGAAAACTCTCAAAACCAAAACCCCCTCTTGAAGTCAAAACATAACTTATTAAAACTGTCCTTATGATGTTGTGTGGGATATAAACAAAGGAACTCCATTATTTAATTCCAGATATCTGTAAGAATCTTAGGATAGGAACTCAGATCCTATTTAAAATACATTTCTTTAAAAATGTAAAAATTTTCTAAAAGTTGTAAGTCTTGATATCTATCTAGATGTTTGAACTCAGATATCTCTCTGCAATAAAGACTTACCTCCCCCCCAAAATGGAATTATTTAGAAGCCCAAACACAATTTTTTTCTCATATGAAATTATTCCATTGGAACACAACGTCCATGTTTCAGAGAAAACATGAAAAAGAAAATTGAAAAATAAACTAGTTAAGGGAAGCCTGAAAACCAGGAACACCCTGCCAATTGCCACAATGAATTAAAATAGCCAATCCTCATCAGTGTCTATAACAGAAATAAAATCAGGCGCATCATGAAATGTCACCATACCTGCATGCACTTTAAATGAGTACGACACACACGCTGCAAAATCTTCACTCCCAGAAATAAAGCACACTTCATTTAACTGCTGCAAAACACTGCTGCAGGAGCCCAGTGCATTTTTTTTCAGGCAACTGATCCAGCTTTCCACCAGCCCTGTGACCTTTGAACTCCCTTCTGCCCCCCTCCTCTCTCTTCTGCAGTCAAAGCCTCTGAGCTGGTCTCATTTGCATAAGGCTCAGGCAGTCCTCCAGCAGCTGAAACGGAATGCTGGGTAAGGAATTGTGGAACTGCAGTTCTGCCAGGGTACCTGAATCACGGGAGAGCAGGAACACGCGATGGGGAGTGGGCAAGGGTTTTACTGGGCTGTGAGCATCACGTTCCCCCGTGTCTGTTAGTGGACAAATGATTTTAACGCTTTGTTTTAGAGTCCTATTCTCACTGCTTACCCCCTCCCCACCAAAAGAAGCTGTCAGCAGCGACTATGGTAACCAAGGAAACCCAAATAGTCAAATACTTCATTTAAATACGTGTGGAAGGCCAATTTTAAATTTTCATTAACTTCTCTTGTTTTTGAAACATAGCTTTTTAAAAAAATTCAAACACATATTGCACGTAGAATCTGGCACATGGGGTATTTCTTTTTGTTGCTGTGGTTTAAACAGCATCTTACAGGCATAAATTTATATTAGCCACTATACAAATACATGAGGTCACTATAGTAATTCTGTAAAATGTTAAATGTGCCTAAGTGCCTTGGAGACTATCATCCTAAATGGTGTCCAAAAATTAATTGTAAAGAATTTAGGTCCCAGGATGCCTTTAAAACAATACAGCAGTAAAAATGTAGAGCAAAGTTAAACTATGTGTTTAAATCTAAAGATTCATATGGCAGTAATGCTTGTCTGTCTTTGGCAAAAATGTTCAGTGTTATGCTATTATTTGCTAGTTATTTCTTCCCTTGTCTTCCTATACACAGCAATCTCTGTCTGAAACATAAACTTCTCTATTGCTCATAAACATAAGAAGTGGTTATTTTCTAGATAAAGAAGGTCATGTGTGTTTATATATTTTTATAAATATTCATAAAGGCATATATTCTTTCCTACATGGTAAACCAATGAAAATATGCATCATCAAATGATTAATCCATTCCTCTTTTTAAAATTAAGCTAATTTGTTTTTCTCCATAAAGTAAAATGTTTTATGCAATAATCTTTTCCATTTCCCAAAAGAAATGTAACATGAAAAATAAAAAGCATACAACACATGCACATAAATGTATATTATTAAATTATGTATTTAAATACATTATCCCAATAACATTGTTAATATTTCAAAATTTCCTGGTTTTTAATTTTTTTATTTAAATAATTAAATAATCCAAATCTTCCTTTTGCACTATACTGAAACACATCAACAAATTCTGAATGACATACCATCCGATTGATAAAACATGTAAACTATTGCAACATAGAATTTTTTAATGCTGGAAAAATAAATTTGAAGCTTTTTATTTGAGCTATTTTTTGGTAGTATTTTCCTTTCTACTATTTCTGCATATAGAAGATTAGAAATTATTGGATGCATTTTTTTTCTTATCCATAAATTTTTAAATAGAATAAATAACTTTTCAGTTTAATGTAATGATATCAATATTTCTCCGTCACATCTGCCTAGAACAACAATTTAATCACGTTGGGTCAATTCAAGTGCATCCTTTATATTACCCACCACAAATATCTTGCAAAGTTTTTGTTTAAGGCAAAACACATACCAGCTCATTCTAATTTAAATCCAATCAAACACAAGCAAGTGTTGGAGTAATTTATAAAATCACCAACCTGTTCAAATAGCTGTAGTTTTTTAGTCCTTGCACTGTTTATTCATTAGAATCCAAAATAAGTTGATTATCATTTTATAATATGTGTCAGCATCACCAAAGACACAGTTCTTCTTGGTTCAGCGGAATCTTCTTAAATTTCCCAGCCCTGTGTTTTATTGCTGGTACCATATGCTTTATTGTTCAGCGACAAGAGCTTCACTCTGCACAAAGACTCATTACCTACTGCTTGCTGCACGGCATCAGCCTCACTGAGGCTGCCTATATGTGATCACATGGAGTTTTGTCTGAGAAAGCCAGGCGTGCCACTGACTTCACTGTGTCTATGGATATTTTTATCAGCTGAGGTCTACTAGGAGGAAGGAATAACAGATTAGGAAGCTGCTCTAAGTCATTAATGCAGCACAACTTATGGAAATCCCTTCACAGGAATTTTTTTTTATTATAGAAAACGTTTGAGCAAGCATTCAAAAGCAGTTAACTAGATTTTATTTTAATAAGAGGCTGAATAATAATTTAAGGGAAAAGAACTTGCAAAAAGCCATTTCCTACCTTATGCTTTCTAAAAGTAGTTTTGTACAAATGTTATTAAAGAGCCTTGTGCTACTGAGTGATTTGACAATATGTGTTAACCTTTAGATTGCTGGTATTTCTTTTTCTTGGGTTTGTTTTTTTAAAAAACCATAATTGCTGTTTCCCTCAAAATCTCAATGAAAAAATCTCAGTCACTGAAAGATACTATATATGAATAAAAATATATATCCTAATTACTTTTGATAAAGTAGATGAGAGGGTGAATCTTTTTTATTGATGTATATAAATGAGGTAGATGATTAATTTATCTTCTCAAAACACAACACATTCCTAGAACAGCTGACTTCAAAGAACAATGCAGATTTCAATTTAAAGATCTAAAGAACATATGGTTCAAATTAATTTTTAAAATTGTAGTAACTTATTTTAGACAGCTTACCTCAATAAAGCATATGATTTATGTTGTCTGATTTCAGTGTTAACAAGTAGTTTCAGAGTTGACTACTCAACATTCATAGGAATTTTCTGCTGCACAGATATAACATTAACATATATACAATATGTGTATGTAGTTGGATCATCTTTCCAAATATAAAAAAAAATCTCTGAAATTATTCCTCAAAATTTGAAAATGGATTGTGGGTTTCTAAATTAAAAAACTATTTGGTTATTGGAATTTAATAAAAAATATCAATATATTATTTGTTTAATAACTGTCTAAATTGAATTGGTACTGAAAGCTAGTGGCTTATAAATCTCAGTGAATATCTTATGACAAATACATGCAAAGTACAATAAAGAGCACAGAAGGAAAAGTCAGAAGCACCATAAATGAAGATCAGAAAATAAATTTTCTGAATAGTTAGAAATACAGTACATTTAATAGTACTTGTAAATAATTCAGTATTTAATCTTAAAATTTGAATATATGTGTGTGTGTGTGTGTATACATATCTACGTAGGCCTTCCATTAGTAAGAAATTATTTTCAAAAAAAAATATTGTAACACAAATTTTTGTGTCAATTGAAATTTTTAAAAATAATTTTAAGCCAGAATAGGCAAGTGTGGTTAAATAGCTCAGTCTTTAAATATAATGATTTAGTATCTTTCTCTACAATTTTTGCAGGGATAGCATTGATCTAAGTGTTTCATGACTTAAATAAATACCTTTGGGTGTTTTTTTCTTAACATTGAAAGAAATATTCAGATATGTTTTAAATGCCATCATCTTAATGCTTGTTCTAAAATGCTCATGTTCATTTTTCCTTCTGCACACAAGAGCTACACTAAAGCAACAAAACCTTGGGGCATTAAAAGAAAAGGGAAAATAAAGGGTTTCCAGCTTATAAGATACCTCTGGGTTCTTAAAGATGTGTACATTCTAGTTAATATCTTTGATGATGACATCATGCTAATGTACAAGGAAATAAACAAAAGGCAGCCATTTTTCTCTTACTGCATCACTTCAAAAACAGTCAAATAAAATGGTTGCTGAATGGAAGGAAAGAACCAGCAGAAAACTAAGTTACTTCCAAGTTTTTAGTTGGTGGGGGTGACAAGGGGGAAAGGGTATGAAATTGGGGAGAAAATACATATATATGTGAAGTTTGTGTGTATGCATGCAAAGAAACAATTCAACAATAAGAAAAAGCTATAAATAAATATAAGGAATATAAAAATAGCTAGCAATTAAAACAAATTACCAATAAAATAGTGAGTTTCCAATGGGAAGATTATGATCTATAAAAATTAATGTATTAAATATATTGTTGAAGTCATTATTGTTGAAAAAAGATATTTAAATGTAGACACCAGAACTAGAAAGATCTAGAAAAAGACAGAATGAATCATGACGTAGTCATAATCTCTCCAGCTCTGCTATTGTCTTAAATGACCTTTGTGAGTTATGCCAGCATCTTATGTCTTAATTTTCAAGTTTGCAAACAAGAAACAGAAAAATCTTTAGAGAGCATATCATGGAAACATATAGCAATATTTTATACTTCAGTTCCCCAAATTGGCTTTAGCCAACAATTGTCAACTAATATTGATAAAATAGAAAGATATGACATAAAATTCTAATGATTGTTCAAAGGAATTTTTAAATGAATTATCCTAATAGCACAAACAAATATAAGTAGATAGGACTTTTGGAAGTAAGAGGTGATTTATTTTTCTAATACATGCAGAAAAAACAGAAATAAATTTAGGCAGTGCTATAATTTGAAATCTCATAAAATTGTGTCAAGACTAAAACAAATTACAAAATATGTCCATCCTTCCAGTCAAAATTCTGGAATTCTCTGCCAGTGACAGGGCAGGAGAATAGCCCCAGAGATACTCAAATTTCACAATGAACAATGGTGTCCCTGCTTATATAACAGTTTCATCAGCCAAAAGTTCTTTAAATTTGAAATTAACAGAGAAACACAAGATCACAGATTTAAGAAGCAAATTCCATCAAAGATTAAGAAGATGTTTTAATTTACTTTACCATATTAAAAGCTGTAAATTGAAAAAAAAGGGGGGGGATGTTAAGTCTTACTATTCACTCTTTTTAGCTTGGTTTTTCTCTAAAGACAAAGAGGCCTCACAGAATCATTTTTATTTACTCCTCTTTCCTACAAAATAACCAAAGCTTATCAGAAGTTACCCAAAATATTTGCTATCTAGCTCTTGCAGGAACTTAGGAATTTAGGCATAGACATACTAAGTAGATGACCCCTTGAACATTCTATTGGGTGAAGGAAGATTTACTGACACCATCACCTGTGTTTCCTGGAACATATTAATTGGTATATATACAATTTACTCCTGTTGGGTTGCCCCTTGATCAGACTGGATTTTCTTGCTACATTTCATCCTCCTTCACAACACATTCAGAGAAGTCAACAAGTCGGCTATATCAGCTCAAAATCCAGGAGTAATTCAATTCAATTCAACAAACATTTATTGAGAAGTTACCACATACTAAGCTCTGAGACAGTTGCTAGGGATATAAAAATGAAATATACACTTTTCCCAAGAAGATTATAGTCTCTCTGGCTTGGGGAAAAAAAAAAAAGAAAAGTGCTGAGCATGTTATGGGAAAGTGGTTAAATAGGGACTTTTAAAAAAATGTATTAATATTTTATTGACTAAATATGCATTTTATGTATAGTTAACATAATTTCTTTATTTTCAATATTATCTCCTAAAACCAGAAAAATCCTTGTTGTAATTAAAAATTATTTATCAAATGTCAAATTGCAAATTATCAAAAGTTTCTTTTGGATGTTATAATCTAGAAGAGATAAGACCTTACTCATAAGGAAATATTTTATATATTTATAATATACTATATATTTATATATAACATATATATAAATATATAATGGCTGGAAATGATTTGCTTTCTTCCTGCAAGAGGTAGAGTCTAATATCCTTTGCCTTTATTAGTAGCTGGCCTTAATGATTTACTTAACCAATGGAAGCTGCAGAAGTGATGTTCCGGAAATTTCAAGGCTAGGTCCTCAGAAACCTTGTGGTTTCCACTTGAGCCTCTTGAAACACTGTTCAGGAAAACTCTGGGCTGCCATGGAAGAGGACTGACTTCCCTGATGCTGCCATGCTGGAGAAGCCACACTCTGGGAGAAAAGGGAATTCCAAGTTGTAAAATGGCACCTTGAGAAAAGCTCAGGAAAAAAGGCAAGAGCTTTATTAAGTACAATGAGAGGACCTGTGAGAAGGCTTGGGTGACAGGAGATTTAGGCAAGTGGTGGGATGTGGAAAGAGAAAAAGGAAGACTGGTGCTTCCTCTTGGATCACCCTGCAGCTTGAGGTGAGGAGAGCCTTGCAACATGCAGGGCGTTGTGACATCACTAAGGGATGAGATAGGAGGTATGAGTAGAGTCATGAGCAAAGAAAAGAATTTTGGCAGTTGAGGAGGGACTAGCCAGGTGGAACACTGGGGCTACAGCTCTGGTCTGATGAAGACGGGAAGAGATGATGAGGGCGTGAACCAAAGGCAGTAACTGAGGAAGGAGAGACGAATCCATAAATAAAGATGGAATATTTAAAATCAGTTGAATAAAATGGTCTCTGTCTCAAGTTATAGCCTTAACAGTCAATGGTTCTACTATCTACCTAGAGATAGCAGCAACAACAGAAAAGGCATTATTAGTTCAATGGTTCAGCTACCAATTAGATCTAGAAATAGAAAGCATTGATTAAACTAGTTTTGTTAGACAGCTTCACTAATATCATAGGTATTTTGATTTGTATTGGCTTTAGTTTGTGAACTTTCCAATATTGTGAAAGATTGTCAATATCAAATATTGTTAATGTTGTGTTTGAAGACTGACAGTAAAACTGTAGGGCCTTCTTTAAATAAGGTATACAGAGGAAAGTATTTGTATTTTTTTTTTCGTATCTGATTCCTAAGGGGGAAAATGTAGAAAAAAAGATAAAAATGTCCTAGTTATGCAAAGATAAAAAACATAATTTTGGATAATGCAAGCTAAGACTTATACACACACGCTCACCATTACTTATCAAAGCCTACTGGAGTTTTATCTTTTTTATTTTTTATTCTATTTAGATATTAGACTACCGGAGCAGCAGATGTTAACTTAAGCAGCCAGTGAATGGCCACTCGGAATGCAGCAGGTCAAGTGCTAGGAATAGCTCTATAGTTGCCGCTACTGTATCTACGATGTGTACATAAATCATTTGAACATGGCTGTAAAGAAGACTTTATGCAAAGTGACTCAGAGAAGAAAGTGTCCACATTCTTTCCCTACCCTTCAGTCTCTATCACTACCAAAGCATTAGAAAACAGCACTTATCAAGAGAAAAGAGTAAACGAAGCAAACCTCCTATCCGAGAACACAAAGGATACATTTATTTCTTAATGACCATAAAAGTTGATTACAATGATTTCTTCTTATGCTGAATTAGATGTCTCACCTGTGACACGATAAAATATGGAGCAAAATAGGATATGCTAAAGACAAACATGAACTGAGCAGTTTAAAATAAAAAGAATAATTTAATGGGACCGATGGCTCTTCCATTTCGATGGGAAGGTTGCATCATGACTAAAAGGGCTATGAGACTGCTTTTGGGGTCAAGGCACAAAAACGTTTTTGATATTTTGATGTTTTATTTCACCAACACAAATCCACAAATACTTAGCTAACCAAATGAGTATACTTTAATTTGTATCACAGAAACATACAGAAACAGCTTTGGCATATTATTTATCTGGGTTCATTCATTCATTCATTCACACACTTACTCATTTTACATTCACCAAGTACCGTATGCTTGGAATTGGGTTCAGTGTTCTGATATGTTAGTGAGATGAATAAGTCATAGTGCACAAGCTAAATGGCTCTCCATCTAGAAGCAGGGACTGATATAAAGAGATAGTTACGGCATAATGAAATGGGTTCTATAATTGAAGAACATATAATAACATAAAGACAGACTGAATCATGCTATCTAAAAATGGCTAATAGTTTTCAAGTGCTTACTAAGTGCTTACTAAGTCCAAAGTGCTTTGCATGTATTGATTAACTCATGTACCCATCACAACAAGCCTATGAGGTAGCTA